TTCACAATGTTAGCAAGAACAAATGTGAACACATTCCACATTTTGTCATGTTACAACAAAAAACAAAAATGTATTTTTATTGGGGATTTATGTGATAGACTAACACAAAGTGGCACATAATTGTGAAGTGGAAGGAAAATGATAAATTAGTTTTCAAAATGTTTTACAAATAAATATCTCAAAAGTGTAGTGCGCATTTGTATTTAGCTCCTTTTACTCTGATATCCCTAACTAAAACCTAGTGGAATCAATTGCCTTCAGAAGTCACCTAATTAGTAAATAGAGTTCACCTGTGTGTAATTTGTTCACTAATGTTCTCTAACAAACCTCTGATGGCTTCACAGAACAGCTTTATTTATACTGAGAATAAACAGCATCATGAAGGCCAAGAAACACACCAGACAGGTCAGGGATGAAGTTGCAGAGAATTTTAAATCAGGGATAGGATATAAAAAAATATCCCAAGCTTTGAACATCTCATGGAGCATTGTTCCATCCATTATATAAAGAAGAAGAGAGTATGACACAACTGCACACCTACCAAGACATGGCTGTCCACCTAAACTGACAGGCCGGGCAAGGAGAGCATTAATCGGAGAAGCAGCCAAGAGGCCCATGGTAACTCTGGAGGAGTTAGAAATCCACAGCTCAGGTGGGAGAATCCGTCCACAGGACAACTATTAGTTGTGTACTCCACAAATCTGGCCTTTATAGAAAAGTGGCAGAAAGAAAGCCATAAGAAGTCCCTCTGACGAACGCTGTGCCTGACCCCTGCTCTTCTCACAAAGTCTTGACAAAGGACCAGCCAATCTCACACAACGCTGTCACTTGCGTAACAATGCCACTCTCAACTGCACCATGCACAAAAATTTTCCAGCTCGCGTGACCACAATCTAGGTGCCAGCAGCCTGAGAGTCACTGGGTTAGGTTAATTTACACAATTTACCCTTGAAACTCCAAACTGCCACCAGATCGCTTTGGGACTATCAACCCTTCACAAAGTTAGCAAGAACAAATGTAAACAATAAATGTCTGTAACACACACTGTCACCACAGACTGGTATATTCAGAGGATTACACTGGTAAACAAAATCAAAAAAATTTTCTGTTACAAAAATGAACAGGTGTTATTCTATTTCTGTTTTTGGTTGCAAACTCAGCTGCTTAGAAATTCTCCATCACGTAATGTTTTTGAGTGACATCCAATTGAAATTTACACTGTTGCTTATATTTACATTATGCATATATAGATGTATATTGTAACATAGTCTTCTAAAAGGTATTTGTATATGATTTTCTGTTGTGTTGCGCCTCAGGAACATCCCTCTGAAGGGTCCAACAATAGTCTGCAAGCATACTGGAGCTACACTTGCCCTGGTACCTATTTTCCATTACTGAAATATCCAGATGAAACTGTTCCCCATGTTCATTGCTGACTACTCCTAGATTTGCAGGGAAAAAAAAATCCAGGTGTGAATCCAAGAAGTGCATTTTCAAAGACATGTTACATCCCAGTTTCTAGTAAGATTTCAGTAGAGTATCCACTAATTCTGCGTAGTTGTCTGCCTTATTTCCCAAGGAGTCGCGGCAAACAGTCTTAAAGGACTCCCATGCAGCTCTTTCAGTTTCATTCAACTGACCATCAAAGTTTTCATCTTTCATCAGTTTTCTAATGTCAGGTCCTACAAAGATCCCTTCTTTGATCTTCGCTTCACTGATCCTTGGAAATGTCTTTCTTAGATATGCAAATCCAAGTCCACTTCTATCCATCGCTTTTATAAAGTTCTTCATAAGACCCAACTTTATATGGAGTGGAGGTAGATATACTTTATTCGGCTCCACAAGTGGGTCATGTGCACCATTTTTCAGTCCTGGGACTAGTAGTGTTCTCTTTGGCTACTGTTTCCGGATGTAATGATTTTTACTGTCCTACTCACACAGAAATACATGACTCAGCATTTTTGCTTGTACCAGCCAGGCTATTCGGGCAAGGGGCCAGGTAATTATAAATAAATGACTCAACATTTTTGGTTGTGGCTGACAACATACAACAATGGAATTTTTTGTATTAAACCTCTTTTCTACCCAAACAAAACTGTAATGGCTAATTTACAGTAATGTACAAACTTTACTAGAGCTTAACTCCGGAAGTATGGATGATCGAAAAATTCCAATACCATATTTGTAAACCAGAGGAAAAACTACATATGGAACACCGACCGAGCAGGTCTGTGACAAAAATGGTGTTGAACAGTGTTATTATATACAGTAGCAATCTTCAAGAGACAGGGATTCTTTAGTTTGCGTTAAAAGCCTTAGAGATAATTTTAAAATTTTTTCAAAAAAGGGTTATTATTGAAAAGGTCAAATGGTGCAATTAAAATAGTTACAGAAAGGGATATATCACAAAGAAATAGAGAACAATAATACAACAGAGAAAAGAAAGGAGTTAAGGCAGAATGCTTGCAAATTCCTGGTTTTAGCAGAGTCCAATTGTGCAAGCAAAAATGTTGCCGTGGCTCAGAAGTCCGTATAAAATGTTCCTTGGTTGATGGTAAAACAAGAGCTCCCCTACTAGATCCGGTCAGTCCTTTTTTCTATGATATCAAAGGGGTGTCGCCTGAGAACAACTGACCAATCATCTGGTTTAGGGGATGGGTGTTAGGAGGTCACCAAATATATGACCAAGTCCCAACTACAGTTTCATACTAATATTAACAACTTCCAATAAGTGCAGGTGGTCTAGTAACTGGCAGATTATTATTCAGAATTATGTTTTGAACCCAGGGATTCCAAACACAGCTTACCTTTGTAACTCAGGAGGGAGGAGACTGTTTTCTCCCCTTTCCTATGTGCTTACATAGTCATGTATGACCTTGATTTGTTCGGCATGATGTTCCCTATTCAAATCTATACCTAATAATGTGCCCTGTTCCTGATGAATTCTATTAATTGTATGTGGAATTGTTACGTTGTGGAATAGACATTTTATGGCATGCTCTGCATTCCTAGAGCCTTAATGGCCTTACAGGTCATGTGCGATGGCTTGACTGAGTTATTTTACGATAGGGCAGAGGAAAGTGTTTTTATGGTTTGTGGAAACAGACATCCTGCCAAGACTAATTAGCTGTTTATAGCTCTGGTCAAGTCTGGACACTGCTTCTCTTTGTGTTTTAATTAAGATAAGAAGTTCTTTTGAAGTTCCTTAAGTTACAGCTACAAATTCCATAGTTTGCAAAGGGGAGGGGTGGGAGTAGGAACACTGCTCATAAGTGTTGTCGCTTACAGCTACCATGTCTCTATTGCGCACAATCGTTACAGTCCTGTTTGCAGTTTGCGAGAAGCCATATGAGGGACACAGCAAACATGTGGAAGAAGGTGCTCTGGTCAGATGAGACCAGAGTTGAACTTTTTGGCCTAAAAGCAAAACCTTGTGTGGAAGAATACTAACACTGCACATCACCCTGAACACACCATCCCACATGGTGGAAATGGAAACATGGTGACAGCATCATTGTGGGGATGCTTTTCTTCAGCAGGGACACGGAAGCTGGTCAGAGTTAATGGAAAGATGGATGGAGCCAAATACAGGGCAATTTTAGAAGAAAACCTGTTGGAGTTTGCAAAAGACTTGAGACTAGGGCGGAGGTTTACTTTCCAGCAGACAACGGCCCTAAACATAGAGCCAGAGCTACAATGAATTGGTTTAGATCAAAGCATATTCATGTGTTAGAATGGTCGAGACTTAAATCCAATTGAGAATCTGTGGCAAGACTTGAAAATTGCTGTTCACAAATACTCTCCAGCCAGTCTGACAGAGCTTGAGCTATTTTGCAAAGAATTGGCAAAAATGTGACTCTAGATGTGCAAAGCTGGTAGAGACATACCCAAAAAGACTTGCAGCTGTAATTGCAGTGAAAGGTGGTTCTACAAAGTATTGACTCAGGAATACAAATGCACGCCGCACTTTTCAGATCTTTTATTTGTAAAAAACTTTGAAAACCATTTATCATTTTCCTTCCACTTCACAATTATGTGCCACTTTGTGTTGGTCTATAACCTAAAGCCCAATAAAATACATGTACGTTTTTGGTTGTAACATGACAAAATGTGGAAAATTTCAAGGGGTAGGAATACTTTTCCAAGGCACTGTATTTTGGATTTTTTTTTTTTTTTTTTTTTTTTTTAAGCTTAAGGGTTTTTTTTTTCCTTTTCTGTCAATTTAACTTTAATGCTTTGAGGGTTCTCTCATCTATGGTTATCTAACTAGGTAACATCCTTCCTTTATGAGCCTCTCCTTACCTAAAATCAAAGGCTGAAAGTGTTCAGCTTAAGCCTCCTGCTGCTGTTTGGTTGTTTTGTCTTTGTACATGCTATGTCTGCCCAACTTTCTTTCCCTGCTAGACATACAGTATCACTTGCTGCAGCTGTTAGACATTTTGGGGGAGATTTACGAAAGCTGGTTCATTCAGAATCTGGTGTACCTGTGGATGGTAGCCAATCGGCTTCTAACTTTAGCTTGTTCAATTAAGCTTTGACAATGAAACCTGGAAGCTGATTGGTTTCCATGCAGAAGTGCACAAGATTCTGAGTGAACCAGCTTTAGTAAATCCCTTTTGTCTGTTTTGAATTTCCCCTTAAGAATGTTTTGTTTTTTTTGTATTTTTTCTCTTGGACTTTGCCCAATAAATATTTCTTGTTGACCATGTTATTTCTTTCTCTTATCTCCTATTCAGGTAGTGTGGTTTTCCACCTGTTTTTAGGTTTATTATCTGTCCAAGGCATAAACTCTAAAGGTTAATGTTCATGAAGGTTAAAGGTTTTTTATTTTCTGGTATCCCAACCTCCTGTAGGCAGTAGTATAACCTGACTCTTTAAGAATTCCTAAATTCCTGTGCCCCTTGATAAACTTCAAGAACATAATTTTTATGGTTAAGTACAAGGCTTTTATTTTTTTGACTGAATTTTTCAGTTTCAGTTTTGATTTGTGATCATTCCAGGAAATGGTTGGTGGTGTTCGCAGCTGCATCAAGCTATACTGTGTACTGAAAGGTGCTAATCTTCACTGCTACTATACTCCAGAAGAGATTGAAGCAAAAGTTGAACCAACAATGATCATTCCTATTAACAAGGTATGCTATGTGATTTCATCTCAATTTAATTTTTTTTTTTTTTTTTTTAGGTCCATATTTGTGTAGTTGAGTTTCCTGGGTTAGTGGGCTGTTTACATGTCTTGCGTGCATTCAAGGTTATATGCTGGCACATCTAGGTGCCAACAATCTTGTGGCTAGGCTATGGATATTCAAGTATTTAGACATTCTTAACAATGTTAATAAGCTTTACAGCAAGCGCTTCCTGGCCACTGCAACTGCTGACACTGTGGATCAATTCATCCTCAAAGTTCAAAGCAGAGGCTTGGAGTATCAAGTTATTCTCTCAACAGCTCAGCTCACTCTGCTTTCCCCTCCCACAGCTCTTGTGCTATGTTTACATTAGAGGTTAGAAGTCTTAGAGGAGGTCATTTATTGCTGTTAAATATTTGACTGTCTAATAAGCATCCCAATTTTTGGTTTTTACGGGATACAACATGGGTTTCACCCTTTCATTATTTGGTAAATCTGTGATCAATATTGAAATTCTATATGTAAAAGAAGCAGCTGTATGTGTCTCCTTTTACAGGTATTGGTGACCATATGTTAAGCGTTAGGCCTGATGCACACTGGGCTTAAAAAAAAATGCTTTTATAGGGCTTTTTTTTGTTTTGTTTATTTTTTGTTTTTCCAGCTTGTAAAAGCACGTCCATGTTAGACTGTGTCCATATACATATAGGAATTAACTGTTATATTAGAAGTGTTTAACAGGCTGAAAAAAAAAAAAAATCAAAAGCACTTTCAGGAAAGGAACTGAAGAGCAGAAAAAACACTGAACGCGCTAGCTGTATCAAGGCGCATTTGAGCGTTAATGCATTCCATTGACCAGAATAAATTAAATCCATGGAGTAAAGAAATCCATTAGTAACTCCAAATGTTTGGTGCTTCCTAAACAATACGTGGCTTTAGGCACTGTTTTTTACATTGCTTTTTTCCTGCCAGGGGTACTGGCATTCATAGGAGAAAAGCAAATGCCCCATGTGCATGAGGCCTTATAAGAATAAACACATGTATAATTGCGACAGAACATTTAGGGGTCTGTTTTTTTATAAATGTTTTCACTAAATATTCACACAACTTTCACCCAAAGTTCACATACTTCTATATAAATATTTGAAAAATGTGTCAATTTTGGGTGAAACCATTGATAAAGACCCCAAAATGTTCTGTCCAAAAGAGATCTGTGTTTTCTGGAAGTTTTTAACATTAGTAAAAGTGGTTATATACAGTACTAGAAATATTTTATTTGAACAAAATGCATGTATTTCAGGAAACCAGAATTAGAGCTGTAGAGAAAGATTCCAAGAAAAGAACAAACAGTTTTTCTATAATCAACATTGTATGTGGGGAAGCCATACCTAAAATATTCTCAGCTGATAGCAGAGAAGACCTGCAGAAATGGATGGAAGCTTTCTGGCAGCATTTTTACAACCTCAGTAAGTGAATCTATTTGCTGATCTTTATCAGTTTTACCAATCCCTAATATGAGAACACTTAGGGGTCCAATTATAAAAGTATTGACACATTTGTCAAATTGAATCAGATTTAAAATGTGTGAATCTTGTGTAAAAACATAAATCGACCCTAAGACCTTGTTTCTCAGTATGTAAGATTAAAAACTGTCTGTGTTTCCTTGTAGTAAGATTGGTGGCCACTATGATTTGCTTATTCCCCTGACCACTGGTCATATACAATCCCCTCTGTAGCTTCAAGTAAAAGTGGGCAGCAATGTAATTATGTTGCCACTCACTATAGTGAGCTGAGCCAGGAGTTGACCATGTTTGAATTGACAGGTCTGGAGTCTTCTGGTCTGCGAGGTTTGGAGGTACACAAACTGCAAGGTATGACAGAATGGTGTACAGTGATGTGAGCTAAATCAGAGGCCTATGAATCTTTCTCTGCTACAAACCAACATGCCAACAATCCTGCCCACCCCAGTGTCCATTATGTACTCAAATTCTGAAATTGTTGTCTGAAAGAGCAACGACAAACAGAATGCATTTCAGCCACTTCTAAAATTCCTCCTCAGTGTCCAGGCATAGTAGTCTCTGTATGCAGCTATGAAGTCATTGCGCCCCATGTGTTTTGCAGTCGTTTTATAGTCAAACGCCTAGTGCATTACCCAAGATTTGAGAGAAATCAAATAAAGCCAATTCCATACTCACAAGAGGTGGAAGTGATATGCATGAATAGAACAACCTATGGTAGCAGGTTCCAAACTGTTGGTGCTATCAGCAAACTGATGCGTTTCAGGGACGTGTCTCCTTCCTCAAAGCTTTAATTGATTGTGTGTGTTCTTTTTACAATTTCTCCATGATCTCCCTGTCTGAGGAGGGCTGCACCGCTGAGGTGCTTTCCTGGAGGAAACAACTACCTTGCAACATACTTCAAACTAGTGACTTTTCCTTTTGAGAGCTGGAGAAGTAGTTGGTTGACTACTAAAACCTGAGTGTGCCCAAGATAGCTTCCTCAGCTCCTAAGCATTGAGTCCCCAGGGAGAAGAGTGCTATAGAAATACAAATAAAGAGAAAAAGTTTACAAATCTGAGTTTTTCAAAAAGTGGAAGTGTAAAAAAAAAAAAAAGTTTTTAATGTACTATAGGAAAATAAATATTGGAGAAAATGTGGCTGTGTGCCTAGACAGATTTTTGTTACTGCAAAGGAAGGTTCACAAAGCAAAGATTTCTGGGTATATTTTTCTACTGTAATACATTTTCAAAATAATCCCAGCCACTTAAACCCTCTTTTGTTTAATTTCTGAAAGTTTTTTACTTTAAATAACAGACTTCTGCGCCAGAAGTTTGTACTCTACATAAGTGACTTAATTTTGTTGCAAGTCTTTTATTTCCGTGTAACGGGGCCATTCACTGTGTTTATGGAGTTGTGTTTGAGTGATTGTTGGCTTTCACACTGAAGCCCTGCTCTTAAGACCATCTATAAAACCTAGTTTGTGAAAATCGTGTTAAAGACTTGAGAAGGAAGCAGTTACAGTATATACTTTTCCTGTATGGCTGCCCTTCATTTAAATGTGAAAGCAAAAATATGCCCAGTTTATGAGTAACATTTGTATTTACTTTTATTCTAATCTAAACACCTGGACTTTCTCGGGAAAGTTTCTGCTCTATTGGACAGGAAAGATGGCTCCACTATTAACTTTTTCAGCCAAGATAAAACAGTTTGTAATTGATTGACTCATTTAAAAACTGAGCCCCTTGTTGTGTGACATAGCAAAGCTGATAAACTTTGCTTAGAGAGGAAAATGCTTTCATTACTAGACATGTTAAGTTATTTGTGGATTACAGGGCTGCATTTAAATAATTATAAAAATTATTTCAGCCACCCTATAGGCTCATCTACACAGGTGGCTTGTGGCAGTAAAAATTTGGCCGTGCCTGAATGCGTTTTTTTTATTTTTCAGGACCCCTTCAAGTGAATGGGGTCATGCCACAACTGCGTGTAATGCATGTGGTTGCAGTGGGGTGCCGTGGCCTTTTAAAGGTTAAAACCGGCATCTAGTAGGTGACAGATCGCCCTTGAGCTGGCCTCTGAAAAGGAAAAATCTGCAGTGAACAATTCTGCAAGTATAAATGAGGTCCACATTTCCTTTCAGATGCAGACCTGACAATATAATTTTTGCTTGCTATAGAAAATAATATATGGTACTTATTATTGTGTGAGAATGCTGCTATCACCTTTCTATAATGTCCTCCTCTTGGTTAAAAGTGAGATGCTTTGAATTAGGTAGATAGATAGATATATAAAAAATAAAGTCTAGTTTGGACCTGTTGCTTTTAATTTTAGAATCTGTCAAAGTTGCAGTCCCTCCAGCCCTCTCTGCCCCTTCTGCTGCTGGGAGAGCATGGGAGTGGTACTGCTGAGGATGAGCAGCGTGAAAGCCTGGGTCGGACTGAATAGGCAGGGCAGAGGGCATAGGGGCAGGGGTAGAAACTGGAGAGTCCGAGCTGGAGCAGTGCTGATTGCAGAGATCTTATTGACATGAGCGAAGGGATTACCCTTCCAGAAATTGTTAGAGTAACTTCATCCCCATCTATTGTTCTCCCCCCTTACTTTTTTCATTGTGTTATCCATAAAAAAACTTACTTGCATATCAAGTGAATCCAGAAGTGTTCTGTAGTGATCCGCCACTCCACTGCTGCACACCTGGCCCTGTGCTGCCATCATCTTTTCTTCTGTGAGATTATCAGGAGCCAGCTGAGTTTTTTTTTTTTTTATTTTTTACCCCTGATGGCATGCATGTGCTATGGCACATCATCAGGGCTTGCTGCAAGAAACCGGAAGAGTACCCGCAGGCTTTCAGGAGTGCATGATCCCAGCATCTCATTAGGCTGTGGGCAACTTGCACGTCATTATTTCCTAAGCAAATATTGCAGGAGTGCGTGAGGGTTCACCAAAAAAAGGTGTAAATGAATGTCTTCTTGTTAGAGGGGAGTAGGGTATGAGTGTAGTTATGGAAAATTGATGGGGAGAGGGGGAGGACCACTTTCAATAGTTCTCTCTGTCCCAGGCCCCCATCAGTTCAGCAGGAGGCTGATGCACGAGAGGACCCTATTTAATTCAGTTGCAGGCATAATTTGTGGCTCCTGACAATTAAATTAAAGTATCGGCCTGCCTGGGTGGGTTGCTATAGAAGAGGCTGGAGCTTTAATATTTGGGAGCTGTGACACAGAGGATTACTCTGTCTGCACCCGCACCTCTAGGCCACCTGCTTAACCGATAGGACCCAGGCCCGGAACAGGAGGGCTAATGTCCATCATCTTTCACAGCCCTGGCTGAGAGATTAGGCTTAGCCAGAGAATACCATTCCTACATTGACTGTGCAACCAGGAAGATCCCTTCCCATACCTTCCAACCATCCTAGATTCAGCAGGATAGTGCAGAGACTGCAACGTAATCCAGGTATCCAGCAGAATCTGGCCTTTGTCCAGCACTTCAACATTTCACATGGGATTTTCACAGAACAGCCCCAATCCTCCTCTTTTCGGGTCCCCTGTCAGTGCCCCTGACTCCTCCCATCTGCTGAGTGCCCACTCCCGAGCCGCTTATTTGTGATCAGGCTCAGGTGAGTATTAGGGAGGGCTGAGGGGGGAACTGCATACTGAAGGTTTGCATTCATAGAATGCCTAAAGGTGAAAAACCTTCAGCCTTTAGAACTGCTTTAAGAATGTTGGGAGCTGAGTTGAGCAGAGGCAGCACTCAGCCTACATCAGCTTTACCTATCGCCAGGCTGAGCAAAAATTAGTGCAGTATAAAAGCATTTAGATGTCTCACATTTCTGGAGTACAAGAGAAGGGCAATGTGCAATAAGATGAAGACCAGTCTGTACAGGGGAGGGTAAAAATGTTCACAGCAGGAGGCAATGTGTAAATAGGGGGGGGGGGGGGGTGATGTGTACAGGGAGGGAATAGTGTGTACAGGAAGGAAGATAATGAGCAGGAGGGAGAAATGTATACAGGAAGGGGGCATACCTCCAAACCATCCTGGATTCAGTGGGACTGTCCTGAGATTTCAATTAAATTCCAATGTCCCATTAATCAAGGCTACAGTCCCAGAGCCCGGTTCCAGAACATATTTCGGCACTTGTCTCCACTAATTGGCCTGGCAGGGGCTTGCTGGTTAAGGCACCCAGGATGCCTGCTTCAGCCCACCGCAATTATTTTAATAAAGTTATTCATTAAGGTATGCTCAGACAATGTGTTAGCATTCTGTCTATTTTAATGTTGCAAAATCATCTGTAAAGAGAGCTTTTTTTTTTTTTTTTTAATTTAATTTTGCTAAGGTTTATGTGTGTCAGAGTCTTGCTTGTGGCACAGGAATCAAAGTATATTTCATGGGATTAAAGATGTCTGGATTTTGTTTGACCATGCCCCTTAAGCCCCAGTTTGGCCACACCCACTTTGCAGGTCTTTGTTACCCTAAAGTGTCCTACATCCTCAAGTTCTAAAGTTGGGAGGTATTCCTTACTCTATTGTGTACATAGTATGCCTAACTTTTTCCTCTGACAGAGCTCAATCTGCCCCACCATTCTACAGTGCATTGCTGGAGCCTTAGTCTAGATTTAATGTTTAGTGTGAATGGTTGAAATCTGGGTTTTTCATATGAGAGTCCTATTTTTCCCAACATTTATTTATGCTGCACCTCTGCGTTGCCACTTTTTGTGTTACTGTTTCTAACTTAGGTTCAATGTTCTCTCCAAGTTTGTTTTTCCTGCATGCTCTGCATGGTTCCTTTTACTAGCTGCTCAGATCTCACCACAGCCAACAGTTATGAACTCTCTTCACTCCCATGGCATTCCAAAAATTGGTCCCAACAACACATAGTCTGTTTAGGTAATTTTGCTACCCAACTGAGAGAGCCCTAGCAATTTGTCATAATAAAGCTGTGAACAGAGGTAGGCAGGGATGGGAGTCTTGAGCAAG